CTCACCTTGCTAATTAACGTGTCCTTTCGTGTGCGACCCACGTCAAATAAAGGCTGATTTTAGGGAAAGAGAAGCAGGAAGTGTATCAATAAAGTTCAAATGAGAAGTCGCCTTCCTGACTTTGCCAATGATGGCTACTTTGATAGCCACTAAGATGAGCTGTAGGCTGATTGGTTGAAACATCACCGCTGATCACAAAGCACATGGCTAACTCAGAGAAGAAGCTAATTTTAACCCTCGCCCTACTGGCACTATCCACGCACTTTGATCAGGTGAACTGATAAGAGCCCCATGCCACTTCATTGACGTGCAGTCCAATTTATCGCCATCAGAGAGGAGAACTGGTAATTAAAAAACTTGTTTGTAAATTTGGTAATTAATGGTATAGTTTGCTGCCTCTATCATAAGACTAGCGTCAGAAAATGGCAAACGGGCCCGCTTAATGAATCGCACAACAAGAATAAAGATCTTCGTCCAGCTGAAAACACGAAGGAAATGCTGAAATGTAAAGGGGAGAACTAATGATTTTTTATGCCTTAAAGATTCAAATCAGCCCTTTTTGTGGCAAAGTGATAAAGCAGTGGTCAATCTGGACTTCATGTCATGGTCGGGAGGCGTAGGTAATGGAAACTGTCTGGTCGCCTTTTACACCGCCGAACGTGTCGGATTACAGTGGAAGACGGTCGCTGTCGTGGAAGAAGATGCGTGCAATAGTGATCATGCTGTCATTTGCGAGCACAAAGGTAATTGTACATCGTTTTCATTGTGGTGGCTAGTATTGAGATGGTAATTAGCAGATGTTCGCAGAGCTGCATAGTTTTATGCTGTACCATACAAATAGCAATAGGGATAGGTGAGTAAGGAAATGGGATTGTTAAGAAGGAAATAGACAAGGTCAGTGGATAAATTTGTACACTTTCCACAGTGAAAGACTGCGAAGATCCACCTGGTGGTTTCAATTCCAACACAATGCAGTTCAGTCCTACAAGACCGCACCCGGGCACGACCACAACGGTAGTTTGCAAACCCGGGTTTTATTCGCGACCGGCTGAGAAATCGTCTAAAACAGCACACCCGCATGCTGACGATAAGCTATTGATTGCGGAGTTCAGATGCATCGGCCAACGAGCCAGCCCAGGAGTCGCTGATCCCTTACAATACAAAGCTAACTTCAACTACAACGGTTTACCTCTGAATGAGTGCGATGGTAAGCAGCTATTTAAGTTCGACTACATCGGGCTACCGGGTCGGCGTGTGAAGTGATGGAAGTTTTGCAGGGCTAAAGATGTGCCATCAAAATTATGCCTAATTTGAGCCTATTCAATTACCTAATTGGTGAATTATATACAATATTAGACTGTTCAAGTCATAGAACACTTGATATTAGCAGTTGGCTTGATGATGGGTGGAGTAGATGCAAACAATTCTGTGGAGCAATGGGGACGCCAAGGTGAGAGGTAAGGTTGTCCCATTAATAGTTTCGGTCCTCACGCTGGTTTTAAACCACAACATTTTGCACTCGACATGTCTAACAAATGGGACAGCCTTAAGCAATTATCCATGCATACCTTCTCCCTTGCTCTGCAGAAATTTCATGCGAACTGGATGTCACCTCTTTGTGCCACGCAGCAAATGGAACTATCAATCCGCCCAACAAAGTTCATTTTCAGTACGGTGAAAACGTGACTGTTAAGTGTAATGCGGGATACGCCTATTTACTGGATCTAACACGGGAGACGGCGAGCATGCAATGCCTACCGATGTCAAACAATCGCTGTCAGGGAATGTGGCACCCTGGTCCGTGTCACGCATGCAGTGGTAGGTCGCAAAACTATTGCGTTGAAGAAAAGTACACTCATCTACAGTCTTTTAACACCTGAATACCTGCCTGGTTCCTACGCACCAGTCCAAACCTCATTAGCTTGAATATCAGCAGCGTCCAGCTTGTGAATGCACGCGGTCCGTAGAAGATGACAACCGAGCACTCATATGCGCCTCGAAAGCAGACAAATTGTGTCCACGTCCACAGA